TATTATTCCTTCTTCATTGTCACTTCCCTGAATTGACTTACAAATTTGACAAAATCCTTTCTTTTTCGTCGTCTAATATTTTATCTACTCATTTCGCACGTATTGTTCATATAGTCATACACCGCTCAAGAATGACGACGCAATTCCTTAATCGTCCATTCTATTTATATTTTACCGTAGTCTATTTTACGATGTTAACGTCAAGTTACTAGACAACGGGAAACATGTTTTTGAAGAACGTTAAAGATTATTTTTTCACATTCTACACGTTTTTAGAGAAATGACTGGAAAAGCGTCTTCCTTGATTAATTGTTTGTATTCTGGAAGTTATTCAGAATGAATTTTCTTATCTCTGTTGGTACATGTATGTACCTAGAAGAAATTCTTGCTCTCTGCTTCCTGACGACTTCGCATTACGCTTATCCCCCAGAGATTATTGTATATTTCCATCTTTCGTGGCCTTCCTTGGCTCACGGTTCTCTGCTATCGCAATAGCTAAGAAACACGAGCGAAAGTGCGCGATTTCGGATCGATCGAACGTTTTTCTATCGAACGTAACATCCCACTCGTGATCGGTGAAGTAACGTTCTCTCGAGTCACGATTATTAGCGAGTTTGTTCGATGGGAAACGCTAATTGCCTTCATCCTACTATTTGTAGTTCGACGAAGTTTCGAGGAAAAACTTGGATGCGAAAAACATTAGCTTGTGAACATTCTATTTTAATAGAGAGAAGAATTTAAATCATGAAACATTCTTATCTCCATGAATGTGAAACAGAGTATTTAATTAGAAAGATCCTCCTCGTAATCTATTCTCTGCTTACGTCATCGCCTTTGAATACGTAAACTTATTAATTGAAAATTAGAATTAAGTTTCGAACTTATCAAGTGCTAATTTCTCTTTTTTCAAATAATTAATATCATTTATGATGCTCGAGTTGCGTAGTAGTCTTATAATACTCTTCCAGATTAGATTAAAGTACAGTAACCTTTGTATTTTAGTTGTTTTCCTTTTTGTTCATTTTAAAACTTTGAAACATCTTCTTATCAGAAGACTTGGTAAATATTCATGAAGATAGTTTGCAAAAAGATTATTTCTGGTTACAAATCACAATTGTTGCTAAAATGACGTTCGTTCTCAGAAGAAATCCTATCAAAGAAATGCCTCCCTTGAGCAACCCTTTCATTCATCTTCTTCGACCATTTCTCTATTTTAAGCCTTGCTTCCCAGGAGGAAAGATTAGCTAACGGATAACAGTGTCCCATTATCTCCTTCCACGTCAAAAGTGGCCTCACGGTTTAATTAAATACAATTTCTCAATGTTGGTAAACAACGCATACCGGTGAGACCGGAAAATAATGTAAAAAATGGTACGATATTAAAATTCCCGGTATTGAAAAATCTTATTCGTTAATTAAATAATGCCGTTGACTATTGCAATCGCATTTACATTGTGTCGCTAATTACAAACGACACGAACGGCGCTTAAGAAATGATGCAACGACGATAGCTTTCAAGGAGGAAACGAAAGTAATCGCGAATTGCGATTGGTTGATTGCGAGGGCTCGAACGGTCGATCCCTCTTCTTGACGTCATCAGTTTCTTCTTTTTCTTTTTCTTCTGAGGAACGAAAGATTGACCCCTCCGTGAGGACACGCAACTTTTCAATGAACGCGATGCGGACTTAGAAACCGACACGACCAGTTTTCTCAGAGGGTTTATTGATTTTCGAGCGAGAAGGGATGCGTTCAGTCACGCTGGGTCAGATGAGAATGTTGCTCGATCCTGACGATGTAATTTCAAGGAGATTCAAGTAAAAAAAATGTTGGAGTTATGAAGAAAAATGGACAAAAATAATTCTAGGGGTAGGTGCTCATTTCAGAGTAAAATTCGTGGGAGTTATGGTGGATGAAGATTGTTATCAATAAATAATCGTTATCGGGTTGTTTGCATTTACGATTATTGCTAGATCAATACATAGTCGAATAATTCAAGTTGATAAATCCACCTGTCTTTAAATTCGCACAGAAAATTCCTTTTTTAGATACTTGGATTAAAACACTAATACTTTCATGAGATACTTATAAGCTCTTCTATGAATATGACATTGATAAAGATAAGCCTGATAATATGAATGATAAAGATTGTAATATCGTTCGAAATGTACTCGTGTCTCGTTAATAATTTTAACTCAATTTTAATTTATGAAATTAATTTCTGTATTCTGTTCGAGTCGTTCAGTTGTCTTTATTTAATTATTTTTTCCTTGTAACACACGATTCAAGAATGCTTTTCCAGGAATTCATCCATTTCATCGTCCACCTACCAATTTCATCATCGACTACGAAACGATGACCGAAACGTGTACGGTCTCACGTTTTCTCTAGCTCGTACTGTTAATCTATTTTCGCATTTATATTTAGTTAAATTTGAACGACAAAATGTTTGCGAAAAACTGGATAAAATATATAATATATTTTGTGTCAATTATCAAAATCATAATGATTATCAAAGGGTTAAAAATGAAAATTTTCTTTTGATAGAGGAGAGTCTTTGAGGGACCGGAAGTGACGGTAAGATGAAAAAAGAGAGATCGAGGATTTGCACGAATTTTAGCTATAACCTTGTCTCGAATGAATAAGCATGTACGTGTTTCAGCTCACGTAACGATTTCCTTGAGATCGTACAGGTAGGTTTGCTTTTGGAACGCGCTTGGTCCTCGGGACGAAGGCTCCTCTCGTTTCGGAAGTGTTTTGATTCCGGTGAAAGGCCTCGTGCCACCGTTATAATACAGTTAAAAAAATAGATAGTCGACCCTGTATAATAATTTTTTTAACCGTGAGCGAATTAGTGATGTGGATCAAGCTTAAATTTACGAACTGTATCTTAATGCAATCAATACCACGTATCGTTTATCTTTCGGCAAAAAAATAAAAGCTCGCGGCGATAATGCAAAGATAAAAACGGGAAGGGTGTACACGGCACTGATTTCATTGTTAATCACACATCAGAATGAAATATAAAAATGATTGTGTAACCAGTTTTATTTTTAATTCGACAAAAGATCGAGATAAACAGTTCTTTTTATCCAGGGTCTAAAATTCAATCGCACATATTTTATCAATTATTCGAAAACAGGAAATTACTTTGCCAAAGTTAATCCCTCATTGAAATGGAAATACTTGTACAATGATAATAAACATATACACGAATTGGAGATAATTGATCTACACGGGTAATTGCATGTAACTACCAACAATTTGTACAGGCTTTGAAATAAAAATGTCGGAAATTAGAGACGCCTTTGTGTCCATTATCTCTTGCATTTCCTCGTAAATAATCAGCTCTATCAGAATTGTGTCATCTTTGAACAGAGACAATCAGATATTTTCTGAACATTCAGTTGTATAAATTCATAAAATTGAAACATTTTTAATTATTTATGGGATTGATAAAAATTGACAGAAAGATCGATTACAATTGCACGATATAAATCAGGGAATTAGTGAGTTTTTTTACGGAAATTTCCTGATTGCTCATCGTGTAAGCTAAGTCGTGTATCGTGTAAATCTTATAATTTTGATATATGATCTTAATTCCTCGATACGAAAACGAATCAATAATTAAAAGTATTAATATCAATTTTGATATATCTGGAATTTAAGCTTTTATCAAACGAAGGAATTTCTTAAAATTTCTAAATCATCCCCTAATACCATACGTATATCAATCTAAAGAAATCCCTCTTCCAACATTATGTCACACGTCTAAATATGTTTATAGTGTCAGTTTGGAACACTTAACAGAGAACAATGCTGGTCCTTTACCAATCTGATGCAGTAAACTCGTACTCGTTGCATCACGTGCAACATGAATGCAAGAATACATGCATGTTCGTTGATCACGCGGTACCATTGCACGGACATTATGTTCAGATACGATTCGTTAGCCATTGTGTGTATTTTACATTATATATTGATATTGTACGATACGTGCAATTGATTTCCCGATAATTGACTTCTCTTAACGAGAGTCAAATTGCTCCCTGTTAAGCGTGTCTGAACCACCACCATGCACTACGATAAATAATGAACATTACTCGATCAATGATCAGTAATCACGAATGACACTTTCTAGAAAGATCATAGCTCCTTTGAGAAGGAACATTCTCGCTCGATCATCGATCCATGGTGCCTCGAATTAGACTCGGAGCTAAAGCCGATCGAATCGTTTAACCCTTTGGTGTTTCATTTAAAAAAGTGCGTGCGTGATTTATGCAAGTGTGCTTAATTTTTCTCGAGTCGTGGCAATTATAGTGATGAAAAGATCGAACGAGTGGCTCAAAATGAAACTTTTGTTTCACGAGAATGAATATGTTACAGTCGACTACTGTCGTACGATTCCTAAAGTAATACACATGACACAAAATGTTATCTCAACGATGCGGATAATTAACATCGAACAATGAGAACGTTGTACGAATAGAACAACCTTTTTTCTGTTTCTTCAAAATCTCTCGCAATTTTCAGTACACCATCGTCTCGATAATTATGTTGGATTTAATTACCATTTCGAGCGTGACTTAAAAAATTAAGGTAAAATTCATAGCTTCTGATATCTCTAGAAATTTTCAAAGAAATCTCGAAGAGTTGAACTACTTTTTTTAAACAAAACTGTGCACTGTGTTCTACATAGAATTATCGTTTTGCGGTTATTTTTAAGCCTTTCATACGTGTTCTGGTTTTGTGTTATCATCGAAAACGAAAACCTGGTACGCTCGATTTGCAATTCAAATAACGAATTGCCTGTTCAAATTAATTTTCATGCTTTTAAGAAACTTTAAATACCTATCGCTTTAAATTATAAAACAACAGAGGAGTCATGTAAACGTGATTTGTGAATTTTCATAACAATATAAAATGCAACATACAGAGACACGAATTTCATTCACTTTTGACCGACAGTTTTACGAGTTAATGAATGTTATGAAAAGATTTACTTGCGGATCAGACGTCAGCTCTTCGTCCAACATTGTCTTTGGCAAACTATGAAATTTCCCTGGTAGAGAACATTGTCTCGAAAAACGATCGTAAACGTCACTGCTTTGAAAAGTTTCACGTACAGAAAAACGAAAAAAAAAGAGCATTCATTCATGAAATTAATTGAATATTCCGTTTTTGTATATGAATGAACTTCAATCATTACCTTTAATGATCTTCATTTGTATATGGAATAATTACTTGAATCATTTCCTCTAATGATCTACTCTGAATATCTATTTTTTCTACTTTTTACAATTTTTATTTTATTTTATTTTTTCTTAGCAAAATACGTGATCTGAAATTGTAATCACTCTCGATGAATCATTTAATTCCGTAAGGAAAAATTTCACCAAGTATCTTGTTATTATCAGAGTAGATCACTCGATTTTTGTTAAGGAAAAATTAACGTTCGTTACTCGGGCAAGAATGAAACAACCTGCCAAACAATGTTGAAATTACTTAATTGCCTTTTTAGGGACGACTGGAACACACATCTCATCTTTATCACCTGTTTTGCAGCATGGTCTGCGAACGACCACCGTGACCGGCTGAAAATTCACAGGAAAATTAATATTTTTCCTTTCGATCTAAACCTTGCTCCATAATTTACCAAATTGTCTCCCGGAGCGTAATTGTGCTCCATATTCCAATTGGATTAACCGCGTTAATTATTTTCTGCGACATTTGACATTTTTTAAGAAAGCTGTGAAGTTTGTCATCAAAATATTGCCGAAATTATTCAGATAGGGATCGATGATATCACGTTCGATAATTTTAATCCGAAAATCGATTGAGAATCTTTCGGAATTTAATATTAGATCCACGGAAAGTTTTTTGCGATTATTTTTTTTTTTTTTTTAAATTTCCTGTTTACTATTCAACTGATACACTATCAGCTGATTCGTTTTAAAAAAGATTATCGACCTTTCAGCTTTGATTATACAAATCTTGTTTTTATTTTAAACAACGATATCGATAGCGTTTTCAATATAGAATTGAAACTACGTAACAGTATTATAAAATTATACCTACTCTGCCATGTAGAATTTGTTTAAATAAAGATGTGGATGTTGACGGGTATAAAAGTTTCAAGGTTCACCGCACTAACTATTTCGCCCGAAATTTTGGCACGATTCGTCACTTCCAACCAGTGGATCGTTGTGAATAAATCCTAAATAACAACTACGAAGTTACACTGTTGTACGCGTGACAATAGTTCATTAAGGTCGCTCTACACAGTCTATATTTGTCAAGAACAAGTCGTAACAAATGCTATCCACTTTGAACCATCTCAAACGTTATGGAACAATAGATATATTTTTCAATTCAAAGAATATGCCTAAAAGTAGCTAGCATCCCCTAAGTTCTTCAAAAATCAATAAGAAATCAAATCCAGAATATATTTTTCCTTAATTAATACTCGAATTTAAAGATTACCTGAGCAGAGGCGGTGAGCGGAACGGAATCATCTTCGATCTGTTGCGCCCGTGATCGAGACGACTTCTTTCCATAACACTTGCACATTCTGCTCAACAACGACCTGTTCTTCGTTTTCATCTTCCTGGGACCTTGATCCACTGATCTAATTCAAGGGATACCTGGTTCCTCCTGTCTCTAAGCCTTCTATTGACCCTCGCTTCGCAATAATGCTCGTCAGACTCGCGATCGTTTCACGGTGCACAGATCGACCTTTGCTTTATCCGCACGACACATGAATTAAAACGTCGAACCGTGTTGAAAGCGACGAAAAAAACGATAGCAATGCGTATCAACGCGATAGCGACGACAACTTTTCCCGTACACGTCGATTGTCGACCGAATGCGCCTGAGCAACAATCCCACGGTCAAGGCGCATCATCAAGTTCCTCCACCAAATTCAACAGATCACCTTGAACATCCGACTGATCGATACTGGACTCCAGTACGCACAGATTTTCATAGATTTCGATGGATTTTGAAGCTTTTTACGGCGATGATAGAATTCATTTTACCATAAATGGATGGGTCTTTTGTATTTATAGAAAATTATTGAACGACGAACGAATTGACAGAGGGACTGAGATTCCCAAGTCCTAGTGTTCAGAGCCTAAGTATACCGTGCGTCGCCGACCTTCCGGACGGATCCTTAGTACCTATAGGGTAGCATAGCGCGAGAAGCGAGGTAAAAGTCCTTACATCTTCGTGTTAAAAAATTAGAAAGGAGCATTTGACGTTGTTGTATGCAAATCAGACGACACGAGAGGCAGCTGATCGATTTCGTAGGCTCGGATGCAACCTCGCATGTGACACGCTAGTGCAATCATTAAGAATGTGATTTTCGGTCACCGAAACGCGTTGAAGAGGAGCAGGCGCGGCTGTTCGCCAGTTTCATCTCGGCTTACTGACCCGTATCTTCCTCTTGGTCTTTCAATGAACTCCTCGTTACGACCACGAAATCATCATGCCGGACAGTAAGGTCGCGAAAGCATTATTTGCGCACTGCGTGGATCATTTTAAGATCGCAATTGAAAACTTGGAAAATTTTTATGGAAATTTACTCGCTGCTTATTTAATTTGTTCAGATTCAAATCTCAATTATGAGGATTATTATTAATACCATTGATAATGCGAGCCAAATTTTTCGTTTCGATCTCAGCGTTCTACTTGTATTGGATTTAGATAACAGATATCGTGTTTCCTCGTTCAATTTAAAAAAAATTGATACTGATAATTGAAGGAGTTTATGTGCATACTTGATTATCTTGTTGTTTTCATTTATAGTTTCTAGCGGGAGTAGAAGCAATTAAACGTAATTCCACGAGCAGAAGTGCAATTTACTTTTGATCTTAAAACACTATTTCACCCTTAAGAAATATATCTGTTAACAGACGTATTAAAGAAATATAAAGTCCCGACATTGTTACATCATTGTCAAAGTATTTTAAGATCGAACGCTCATTCAGATATACGTTCGCCATTGAAACTTTCCCAAAATAGTTCAAGTAGTCCTTTTTCGAAGTAATAAATCAACGATCGTTAAGCGGTTCGTACAGGATTTTAAAACAAATCTCATTCTGTCCGATGGTTTATATTTATAATATTCCGGGGCTAGGTTGGTCCCCTATGTGTGCGGATCCGCGTCACGCGAAAATCATGAATGAAAGCACACATCCTCCCACCTATGATCCCTTTCTCTTTCTCTTTTGTAACGTAAAGCACGCGCGAGTCCACTTCGGTGTCCTCGTTCGAATATGATCGCGGCCGCCAAAAGGAGGCGAAATATCATATCGTTTCGTAACAATTAGCCTCTCGCGTCCCGAATATTACAATTCAGTCGTGACGACGATCCGATTTGCATCCAATAAAGTATTACCGCTTAGAGTTATTGGGTAGATTGAAATATCCCTAGGCTTACCATCTAGGGTTCACTAGGGCGCTGGTAGCTATAGGAGTACTTACAGCTATATACCTGTAAATTTAGGAATTTTATAGGTATTTTTAAGTCCTTATAAGTATTCTTAATAGGTACCTTCAAGTACCCTCTTTTTCTCACGTTTGACCACTAAATGACCCTATAGAATCACCCCAACTCCTGCAGATTAACTCGTTACATATCGAATGACCAACTCACGTCGCGTAATGCCAATTCTTGGAACTAAATCAATTAACCTGCGAACCTGGTCCATCGGGTCAACTGTTAGTTAAGACATCCTTCATAGGAGTTCGTGTTACCGGTCAGGTTGCTCTATTGACGATCGCTCTTTTTGTTCGCGACTTACGCAACGAGGGAGAAAGTCAAGGACAGAAAACAGCATGGACGATCTTAGCCAGGATAGCTGACTTACCGTCTGATCTACGTGCTCCCATTTCTCGTGAACGTAATCCCAAGTCTCTTCCGTCATTGTCCGGTCACTCGGTTCACGTCGAGCCCGGGAAGAACTCGCTGCTTCGAGGAAACGGAACGAGGGCCGTGAAAGCACGGAGCGTCGATCAGCGGACAGACGATCTTGCCGTCTCTCGGGAGATCACTAAAGATCTTACATCACGCGATCCACTAGCCCTACATCGAATCTACATCGCGGCTAGAAATACAAACGACTCGCGTACTAGCGGACGGAGCCGGGTGTATTTTCGGCCTAGCGGATTCGTCGTCGTGAAAACTTCTCGATCGGTGACTGCTTATTTCGGTGCCTTCTTCTCACCGCGTTCTTTCTCCGCGCTGAAAGAACAATTTTTATTCTTTTTTAGGATCATTCTGGTTCACGCAGGATGACGCGTAGATCTTGTCCCTTAAACTAGAGGAGATGGCACGAATATGAGATGGGGTAGAAATATCAGATACCAAAGTTTTAACCCGTACGCATCATTGACACTTTTAACGCTAATGGTATTGGTATATCAAAGGATATTTGAAGTATTTGTGTTTTAATTATGATAAATACTAATTAATAGTAAAATGACAAAATGGGAGAAATATAAGATACTTGATTTATTTTTAAGATAGTACTTTCTATTATAATTAAAATGAACAATCAAGTTTTATTTTATAATAATGCAAACGAGATATAGGATATAGGATTTTCCCTATGGCATTGTCCTTATTGCATTACTCATTAAACATGCGCCAAAAATTTGATGTCCTTTGTGTAACGCTGTTGCTATTTAAATGTAATCTTGATGGTTCTATAAAAACGAAAAAGGTGCATGTAATTTATTTATTGACTTGAAAATACCGTCACAGGCGAATTGTTTGTAATAATATTGGACTGTACGGTTTCTTAATAAAAAATTGATTAGCAAGCAATGTCAGGATGGCCGAGCGGTCTAAGGCGCTGCGTTCAGGTCGCAGTCCACTCTGTGGGCGTGGGTTCGAATCCCACTTCTGACAAATATTATCTTTTGGTATCCTGTATAATTGTTAAAATATTAATAACAGTATGTTGATATTTTGTTTACTTCTGACAAAATATCTTGGTAATAAAAAGTTGAATCAATATTGAGATTTTTATGGACACATTATCATACTAACTCTTTGCGCAAAAATATGTTTGTAGGAAATTAATATCAATTATTTATATATGTATACAATTGGTAACATGTAAATATGTTGTTAAACAATTGAGACAAATTATTAATAGGATACGTATTGAACATTTTTTACATTGAAATACTGATTTTCTCGTTTCCTGTTAGAGATATCATTTTCTGCTGTTTCCGGTTACGTACAAATAGCATCTGCATGATGCAGTTATGTACACGCATTAATTTTTTAATCTACAATGTGTTACATAAGAATTAAAAAATTGTAATTGATAAAAAAGGTCAAATGCTTTCTAATTTCTTCACAAAAGAACTCGGTGGCAACAAGAAGACAAGTGAAACGCGTATAATTTAAGCTTTACAGTTTTTACCCGTTTCGCGGATGTTTTATTGCGATCAATTTAATTGATTCTTCATTCCGATCGAAACATATTCTCTTAATTTTAATTCTAGCATCGTATTTTTTTAATATTAGTATTTAAATAAAGCGACAGGACTCTTTGTGATAATTGCAAGTTATTTTAAGGAGTTAATAGTAAAGTGGAAACAAAGAAAAATATATCACGAAATTATTTTAATCCAACGTTTAAATTAACAATTGCAAAAGTTAGACATAGTTACAAACGTTTAATAAATATCAAAATAAACGAACAATGTAAAATATTATCGTTAATGCACAGGTAAACCGTTAACATTTGACATAACAATCAGAAAGTAGAAAGGAAATTACGAAGTGAATAACAGTAAATTGTCAACATGGCGGATGCTGATTTTATCATTACAATTTCGGGCGCCGCTCTTTCCTTATTGTTTTACGAAAATGTTCGTAACTGTGGAGATCAGGTAAAGAACAGTTCCTCTATTTTTAGTTATTCGTTATAATGCTTTTTATTTTAGCGCTACAATTTGCTTGAGATAAGAAGTATGCCGTCTTAACCTCTAAAAAAACCTAACCTAATAAACAAAGAATTGGTAAACATTAAAACATTGATTCTCATGTTCCAGATGGGATTCTTATTGGGAGAAACTCTTGAATTTGTAGTGAAAACATATACAGATGCGGACAATCAGATAGAAACAGTGAAGATACAGAATAGTAAATATACACAATTGTAATTTCTCCTGGTAACAGGAAAGTTTCAGTTCTGCAATAATATTTTTACATTTTTAGATATTGAAACTGTTGTAACTTGCCCATTGCCAGATCTTTTACATGATTCTATTGGTAGAATTAATAAAGAAAATTTAAAGGATTTCTTACGTGATAAAAGTAAACAAGTAATTGGTTGGTTTCGCTTTAGGCGAAATACAGGATTGACACCAACTATGAGAGACAGAATATTACATAAAGAATTTGCAACACACTTTTCTAATGGCAATTGTGCCAAAGAAAGGTTCTTTGTTACTTGTTTATTAAACTCTACAACAAGTGATGAAAGGGGCACACATAAATTTAAACATGTATTTTTAAGACGTACAAGAGAGTAAGTATTTAAATTGTACTTGTTTATCTATACATTTCTTGTACAATTTAAAATAATTTTCTTTTCATAGGATATTTGAACCAGTTCCTTTAAGGATAAATAATCTAGAAAATAATTCATTTCTTCAGGAAGGTTCAGATTATAAACCTCCTCCTACTAAAAGGTCATCTGATTTACCAGATGTATTTACCAACCTTATAGAGCCTTTAAAGTAAGTTTTAACACATGGGTATATGGTTTATAGTTACTTTTAATTTGTTATCCTTGGTATTTAGTTGGAATTATGTGTTCTTAGTTTAAATTTGACAAGGACATCTGATTTGGAATCTGCTATTACTATACAAGAAGCAGCTGAAACGTATTTGAATCAACTAATACCAGAATTATGCAAATCTGATCTTGAAGTGGCAGAGTTAGAAAGACAAGTTAAAGAATTCAAATTTCATAAAAGGTCAAAAGTGAATGGTAATTCAAACAGTGTGGCTCCTGAGATTAAGACAGCTATTCTTCGTACCACCGAAGAAGGGAAAAAGTCAGAGCAATCCTCTCCATTAAGAAAACAACTTTCAGATGAAGTCTGTGATGATAGTCCAACATTTAAAAACCATTCTACTGCAGCTGTAAGTACAATATGTTGTTTACACTAATATGTTCTTTATAAATTACTTACATGTTATTTTTCTCTTTTACCAGAGTCAGGCAAATACTATTAACAAACCAAAAAATGCAGTAATATATACTGAGAAAAGTATAAATCAAGAGAAAGCAAAGACAAATATACAGGCAGTAGAAAGTCCTAATCAAAAACCATCCTTTGTAAATTCCAATTCAGAAATGAAAGTCAATGTTACAGAAACTATGTCAAATAAACCCAGGCGCTTCAATATACAGTCAGAAATCGTAAAAGAATCGATCTGCAAAAATGAAACGAGTATGATTGGTGTTGGACGTGGTAGAAACATACAGTTTCATGAAGTTGCAGAACCAAAGAAAGCTAGAAGGACTAGAGGTCCGGTTCCTACACAAAGTAATAATGAAAGGACTTCGCACAGTCAAGTGGCACGACAAGAATCGTCTGAAGCGAATTGTGTACAAAATGTTCCTTTTCGACCAGCTTATAATGAAATTGCAAAGAAAAAACAAGTAAATAATACACGCAAATCAGATTCGTCGGATAATCATTAAATAAAAGAGAATTCCGGTTATCTTTAATTTACTTTAAAAGCTTCATAACAGTATACTTAAAAATGTAGCGCATTCGTGCAAAAAAAAAGAAGATGATGAAGGTTTAAGAGCGCTTACACTAGAGTTGTACGCATTGTAAATATTTATACATACAAATACATATATTTTAAAATATAAATAAACTGACCGTGTCTGATATATGTTAGACTGGTCTGTTTTTGTTTTTAAATATTGCGAAGATGTCGAGGAAAAAATGCTATCGTGCCGTGTTCATAGTATCGAATATTGTGCATTATAAAGTGGAGAGGCATTACAGACTGAAGTACTGAATAGTTTTTAATGCGTATGTAACATGCTCTTAAATATTTACAGTGCTCTATATTTCTAAGTTAACTATGTTCCCTTTAAGCTCGGAGAGAAATATACAGAATATGTTATTCTTTGATGTAAATTTTGTTAAATTGTGCCATTACAGTTTTAAGTATTTAACGTATAAAATAAATATAAACGTTTTGCATTATGATTTTTTATAAATATCACGTTAATACATGTATTAAGTATTTGTAAATAATTAAAAATCTCATCATTTTTTTTTTTTTTTTATAACTAATGTTAAATATTTCGATTAGCACAGAACTTCGATTTTTATCTGTACATAAATACTTAAAAGGAATGTTCTTAAAGTATGTCAGCAGGGTCATTTGGAACTCCTGTGACCTCCCATATCGTGGCCGCAAGTCTTCTTGAATGTTCCAAAATACACGATGATGTTGCCAATCCAAGATGAACACAATAAAGCTCGTATATCCTGATTTTATTCGCCGACAATTTGGGAAAACATATCTCGGCTAATTTTCTACAAAAATAACCAAAGTACGTTAACACTTGCAACAGAAAAAACCAAATATTATATGTTAACAATACGAACCTATAATAATCACCGCAAAATATACCTGGTACTGGAAAGTTTTTCATTATGTGATTTAAATAAACCTTACATTTTAATGGTGATCCCTACAAAACATCTACGATAGTGATAGTGTATAGATGTATTATTGTTGCTTTAAAACTATTTACTTACAGAACTATCCTCGAACCATAGAAAGTAAGCATAATTGAACGTTGTATCTTTCCACATGACTGATAAATGTCCTTCTTCTAAATGCATTCTACTTTGTTTAACCATGTTCCATATCTGTAATAATAATAATTCTTAATTAGATTATGGTACTCGTGTATAATTTATTCAATTTTTTATAAATTACCTTCTTTGTTGTAAGTGCAAGAGTTTCAGGATTTGTGAAGTCTAAAGTTGGAGCAGTCAATCTGTGGGTAGTTCTATCTATGTAAATAAAGTGCACAAGGCCCGGAAATTCTTCTAGATATTTGTTGATAGTTAGGGAAGTTCTCGTAGATTATATGGCATTAAGGAGTTATATTTTCATACGTAACTCACCATACAAAATAAAGAATACAACAAAAGTATGAAACTATAATGCTACGTAATTATGAAAGGATATGATCCAAGAGTAAAATTCTTCAATGCTTTCACTTTAAGGAAATCGCTGAAATCGTTTAACTTTTGACGGACGAGCTTTCCTACTGTTGTGAGGACGTCAACGCCTTGTTTCAAAAAGCTCTTATCAAAACATGTTAATCGATATAATTCTTTTAAATTATCCGTGAATCCAGACGTATTGGATTCAATTTGAAGAATAGACTCTGGGTCTCTGGATTTTAAAAGATCCATATATTTTTTTCGAACGAATTCCCATTTCGATTGCAGTCTTCTCTGACACATGTCGACATCGTTACTGATATTAGCTCTGTTTTTCTTAATTCCATCTAAAGCTTTCTTCATCGCTAAATCAAAATTCTCAAATGCTGGTCTCAATTCGTCGAGATCCCTTTGAAGTTGCAAACCATTTATGACATTTAAATAATGAAAACTATCGTATAATCCAGATGATGTGGCAAGATTGGTCATTTCTATTATCATGACAAGATTAATGCCATCTGCTAATTCAAAAATGTGAACTGCATTGGCAGTGGAATCATGTTCAGATCCAAGAAGAATTAAATGGCTGTATAAATCATCATCCATTAAGGAATATAGACCTTCATTGATGGAAGAGTCTCTTGATCCCCCTAAAAATAAAGTAACATATTAGTGCACAATATCAATTAAAATAAATATCCCATAATAGTAAAAAGCATACTGAATAAGTCTGTAATGTCTTCTGATGTAGGATTTGCAAGTTTTGCTCCAAAAGGTACTTGTTCATCCTTGGTTGAACTGTTGTCAGGTAAAAGTATATCAGTGCAGTCATCATTATCATTTCTCTCCATCTGTGTATTTCCTTTTCTTTTCTGATTAACTACCCAACACATGAGCATCATTAGCAATATATCGGCAGCATACAAATCACGAGCATTTTTACTGGAGTATAAACAAAGAAACTTTTGTTCCACCAATATTAAAATATGTACATTTGAAAACTCAGATTGTGCCTTTAATTTATCAGAAGCATCATGTAATACTTTTAATATTGCTACACCTAGATCAGTGTTTATTGTTAGTTGTTCTATGGCTTCTGTAAGCATACTTTGCTCGCAATTTCTTAAATGTACCCATGCATCTAATAAAGAAGAAACTAAACAGACTTTCTGTCTATTTACCTTCAATCTAAAATCAAATAGTTTCGTTATAATTGTACAGAAAAATAATTTTCGTAATTATATTTGTAATTTAACTTACATTGCAACATCTGGTCCACAAACATGCCTTACAATAGCTACACATACACCTAGTGTTCTTTTCATTAATTCAACTTCTTCCATGGATATATAAATAAAACTATATCCCATAAATTCATCAAATACCATGTTTATGCCGTCATGACACTTCATTGAAGTATAAGAATTTCCAAACTGAGAAGCCATTACATGTTGGGATGTAACAATAGGTGAGAATAATTGCATTATAATGTTTGGATTGAGCTTTGAGTTTCCATCACTTGCATCCTAAACAGAATATACATAATTATATATTATTGTATATTTCATTTATAAATTTCTCTAGTGTTTATTGGCATCATGTCACTCATGGTAAGTATGTAATTTGATTTTTCTAACATAATGTCATAAAATTACAATTTCTGTGTAATTATAATTCTATAAACATTTGACAGAAACATAAATACCTTGTTTTCCGAAATAAGTCCTTGAATTTTAGCTAGTTTTTGTATGTGATTCGCAAATTTCTTATTACATTTCGTAAAAAGTACATCATTTAAATGATCGAAGATTAAAATACCCTTCATTTTTTAAAGTAATTAAAAAATATTTCGACTACTGTACGATATTGTTGACTGATATGTATCAATAGAATGATGTTTTAATAGAGGAAATGTTCATTTTTGAACATAAAGCTATTACTTAATACACACAATACACTTGCTCTGCCATTTCATTCCGAACGATTACCTGTAACGAAACTTGTTTAATCAGATTTGCAATAAAAAAAAGCCACTAACAAACTTAATTACCTGCCCACTCCCCAGTGACTACAGACTGGACATGCTTTTGTTTTCGAGGGGTCACCGGTGCTCCGGGGTCCCTGACACCCCGCGTGTCATAATATCGGTATACAAAGAATGTCGCCGGGGTCCCTGACACCCCGGATGCTATAATGTCGGTATGCGAAAAGTGCCACCGGGGTCCCAGACACCCCGGATGCTATAATGTCGATATTCAAACAGCGCCACCGGTGCATTGGGGTCCCTGACACCCCGCATGCCATAATGTCGGTATACAAAGAGTGACGGCGGGGTCCCTGACACCCCGGATGCTATAATATCGGTATACAAAGAGTGCCATCGATGCTCCGGGGTCCCTTACACCCCGGATGCCTAATGTCGTTATCAAAGAGACCTACATGAACCTAGCCGGAAGGAATAATAAAATATGATTATTTTTTATTTTTTTTAGTGTATTTGGTTTGTAAATCGTTTGTGAGTGATTGTGAGTCTATTTGTAAAGTTTGTGACAAATTAGTTCTTTGTACCCATAGTCTCTATGTACCCATCACTACCCCGAACAAGTGAGTTTCACGATTTGTTCGTTTTTCGTTCTTATATTTCGCTAGATCCGCTCAAACCCATCACTATTCCGAACAAGTGAGTTTGTGGATTTGTTCGTTTTCCGTTCTTATATTTCGCTAGATCCGCTCAAACCCATCACTACTCCGAACAAGTAAGTTCCACGATTTGTTCGTTTTTAGGTCTTATATTTCGCTACTTGCTTCGGGGTCCCTGAAACCCCAGATACCACAATGTCGGTATGCAAATAGAATCATTGGTGCTTTGGGGTCTCCGAAACCCCAGATACCATAATGTCGGTATGTAAGGAGAGTCATTGGTGCTTTGGGGTCTCCGACACCCCAGATGCTATAATCTCGGTATGTAGAGTATCATTTGTGTTTTGGGGTCTCTGAAACCCCTTATACCATAATGTTGGTATGTAAAGAGAGTCATTGGTGCTTTGGGGTCTCCGAAACCCCAGATACCACAATGTCGGTATGTAAAGAGAGTCATTCGTGCTTTGGGGTCTCCGAAACCCCAGATACCATAATGTCGGTATGCAAAGAGAGTCATTGGTGCTTCGGGGTCCCAGACACCCCGTATAATATCAGGACCGTATGAAGAGGGCACAACCAGTATAAGTTTTTTCCAGAGTTTATTTAATTTACTTCATTTATTTTTTTTTGCTTATTAAATAAGCTTATCAAAGCGGATAACATTTATGATTATATCCCTCTTCTGGGTATCAGCCGAGGACTCCATTTATTTTATTTTTTCCAGTTATTTATATAATTTTATCCCTCATTATAGGCCAAGGCCATCCCAGTATCCCTTACATCCCTGCATTCCTTATATTCCTGCAAACCTTAAATACTTTTTTTTTTTTTTTTTTTTAACGTGGTGGAAATCTTCAGAAAGACACCTCCAGCCCCCCTGGGGAGGGGCCGGAGGTAGTGTGGGATTTTTACCCACTAAAACCACCACGGTGGCCTGCACTAGGGCGGTAGGGAGGGTCCCTTTGACCCACCGCCATGTGTCAAACTCCGCCGACATCGGGGGCCACACCCGATGCCGGCACTCCTCGGACCGCGTGCAGTGGAGACCGGGGCCCCAGCCCCGGACCCCGACGGAATTCATTTACATCCCTGCATTCTTTTCATCCCAACACTCTTTTCATCCCTAATTCTTTACATCTCTTCATCCCTTACATCCCTACATTCTTTTCATCCCTACATTCCTTACATCGCTTCATCCCTTACATCCCTGCATTCTTTTCTCTCCTACATTCCTTACATCTCTTCATCCCTTACATCCCTACATTCTTTCCATCCCAACATTCCTTACATCGCTTCATCCCTTACATCCCCACATTCTTTTCATCCCTACATTCCTTACATCGCTTCATCCCTTACATCCCTACATTCTTTTCATCCCTACATTCCTTACATTGCTTCATCCCTTACATCCCTGCATTCTTTTCATCCCTACATTCCTTACACCTCTTCATCCCTGCATTCTTTTCGTCCCTACATTCCTCACATCTCTTCATCCCTTACATCCCTTCATTCTTTTCATCCCTACATTATTTGCATCCCTACGTTCCTTTGATCCCTACATTGAGAATTTCGCGAAAATTTCGCAAAACCGCGCCCCCTAGCGGCAAAAATGTGAACTAAAATGTCGACGTCCGTTCAGCGCCATCTGGTTTCGGAAAAAGGAACTAAACCATGCACCATTTTTGGCCCTCTGGCGGCAAAAATGTGAACTAAAATTTCAATGTCCGATCAGCGCCATCTGGTTTCCGAAAAAGGAACTAAACCTGGCTCAATTTCTGGCCCTCTGGCGGCAAAAATGTGAACTAAAATTTCAACGTCCGATCAGCGCCATCTGGTTTCGGAAAAAGGAACTAAATCTAGCTCCATTTCTGGCCCTCTGGCGGCAAAAATGTGAACTAAAATTTCAACGCCCGATCAGCGCCATCTGGTTTCGGAAAAAGGAACTAAATCTTGCTCCATTTCTGGCCCTCTGGCGGCAAAAATGTGAACTAAAATTTCGATGTCGAATCAGCGCCATCAGGTAGCGAAAAAAGGAACTAAATTTGTATAAAATCGCAGGCCATATACAGGGAGATACTGGGATGTATGGAATGCAGGAATATAAGTGATACAAGGATGTAAAGGATACAGGGATGTATGGGATGTTAGGATATAAAGAAGGCAAGAATGTGAGAAATGCAGAGATGTAAGGGATGTAGAGGTGTGAGGAATGCAGGGATGTAAAGGAAGCAGAGATGTAAGGGATGCAGAGATGTAAGGGATGAAGAGATGTAAGGAATGTAGGGATATAAGGGATTAAGCGATGTAAGGAATGTAGGGATTAAAAGAATGCAGAGATATAGTGGAATCAGGGATATAAAGAGTGCAGACGGAAGTAATAAAATCAACACGTTCGTCCTCCTAAGGAGTTTATTCAATAAGCTAAGAAAATAATTACAGCAAATTAAATGAACGCAGAAAATAAAATACGGGTATATGTATGTTTAGCAGGTAGATCTGCACAAAAGGGATAAAATCATAAATTGCATCCCTTATGAGCTTATTCAATAAACTGAGAAAATGACTCAACTGCACTACCCAGCGGTCGCTACATGACTGGATAGTTGTTACTATATCAATAAATTATTAGCTCATATATAAAGAATCAAACTTTTATTTTGATAAAAATGTAAATGAACAAAGATTTATATCTGTTAATTTACACAGCATAAAATTTAACAAAGAGATTAACAAATGATAACAATGTCAAAAAATTACAGTAAGTAATTTACATTACAGTTGATAGTTATTAAAATCTATTAAAATAAAATTATTATTCTCTGTCAACAGGTAATACGCCTTTAGCTTTTTTAAATTCGAAATTTATTTATAATTGTATGTATATCCTAAATCAAAATTTACCTATGCAAATTTTTGTAAATCCAAAAACCGTGCTTCCCAAAATAAAATGGAATGTATTGTATTTTTCACGAGAAAGTACGAGCGTTTCGCGCAGTTCGACTGAGCTCACAAAGTTCCCCACCATGATTTACTTCTCATTGCATCTGCCATATACACGGTGGACAAAATGTACTAATATAGGAACGGCTTATTATAGGGCAGAGGTAGTGAATAATCCTCAAATTTCTAATCACCCGATGAATCCCCTGTCCAGCGTGGCTTACGACATACAGCCGTACGGCGCTTGCGCGTTACCTTGGTAGCGGAGCGTGGCAGAACCAATCAGAGCCAACATGCGCAGACGAAACCAAAATTCGTTCATCCGATACTCTCTCGTGAAAAATACAATAAAGAAAAATAAAGCTTCAAAAAAATACAGTAAACCCTTAACTTTAAGGATTATTAGGAATAATTATTATCTACTCAAGAATTTAAAATATTTCAATCAATATTGGAATAATAATAAAAAAAGGTCTATATCTTTTAATTTATTAAATTGGAAGTAAAAATCAAGTTCCATAAAATCGAGAGTTTACTGCAACATTTAATATCGCTCTTTTTATAAGAGTAACATCAGCTTCATTATCAATAATATTCGAATGATAACATTATCATCGATCGATCAACATTCGAATAATTACGCGAACAAGTATTCATTTAGTATTCGCATAAAAGTGACAACGCAGTACTCGGCATATACATTATATTCGACTAGATTATAATTATAATAAGTCTCTCTACTAGTTTTTTTGCATTTTTCATGTTTTCGCTCGTTTGGCTTTCGATCAAAGATTTTTCAACTCGTATCGAATTTCTAATGCACGTGTACAGTGTCTCTAATAGTATTACATGCGATAGAAATAATCTCAATTCTCAATGGCCAAGTCAATTGGACACTATAATAGTAATAGTAATAATTGTCATAATTTTCTAGATCCTTTTTAGTTCTCTTACATGCTATCGCTTTGAAAGTTTCGTATAAACCCTGGTAAAATTGCATCAACATTGCCGTTAATGTTATCTGGCCATTTGCGACTCTGATTCAGCAAGTGAAACAGTAAATTCACCCTTTGAGAGATCAGACTGTCGACAAATTTGTAAAACAATGCGAATAATGTACAGGTTATGTGCGGCGGAATAGTATTTGTGCTCCTTTCAAATAATGTTGCAATATTAAAGAAATACTTTCAACTCTGAAAGTGAACTATCCTCGAGCAACGTAAATTAATCTTTGAAGAATTGACAACCGTATCTTCTCTTCTGATTTGTGTAAAAACAGATGCTTAACCTATGATTATTTTTACTTTATTATATTGTATTCAGGCCTGTACACTTGGCGCATTATTAGCGCTGTGATTTTTATCCGAAAAATATACGACATTAAAAATAAACTGTTATAATAAATAAACAATAATTTGTGCAGAATGTTAGCCGTAACTAACGCAACTATAATTGAATTTACCGCTTAATAATTAATAGTCGTCAGCTGATCACTGATAACATAATGGAAAGATTATTTTTTGCGAAAGTTTTAATTTAAGAATCCTTGCAACGAATTGTTATAGTTAGGTTAGAAAAACATGTGGTATTTTTTAAATATATACGATAAATTAAGAGCTAATAACTTATTAAGTGCGTAAGTAGGATTTTAACGGCATAATTACAAAGTGACACCTGTTGCTAATTTTGAAAGATCTTAAAATGCAAATTAAGATGTAAATGAAAATAATTAAGCTGTGTTTAGTTTCATAACTTAATCATCCTTTAACAATTAATTAAATGCAAAGTTTCCAATAAGGTTTAATTAATCAAAAATAGAATTATTAAATGAATAACAAATCGATAATATTAATCAAGTACTCGTGACTAGTATTGTGATTATTATAAAACAAGCAGTCGTAAAGCACTGCTTTATGACTGTCCCTCGTACATACTTTCGTGAGTGAAACTCATTAGAAATAAACACGCGTATTTGTATACGTGAATTGACTTGAAACACGCGCGCATGAGATTTCCCTAATCATTCGGCGTTATAGTGAAAAAACATCGCTGTAAATTTCTCGATTTGACTGACAATAAACGATAACTGTCTGCAGTCGAACGTAGGCCTGCCTGTTCATGTGTTGGGTAGCAATCAATACTTGTATGCTAGGCTTGGTTGGTAATAGCGTCATATTGTCATTTCGCAAACAAAATCGAGTTTAATTGCCTCATGAAATTTTCAGATTACACTCGCTCATTAAATGCAACTTTCTCAAAGTAAATTCCTTAATGGATCAATGCCTAGAATTTTTACCGTTGGGCAAAAATATTTACGCACTTTGGCAGTATATGCATTTTCTGATTACAAGTCTGAAGTTTGAATACGCGAGCAAGTATAATTAAATTTCATGCCGTAGTAATTAGTTAAAACAATGATACTCACGCTTGATTCCGTGATCAAATTTTCAGTTACAACTTTTGTGCTTCAAATAATACATTATTCGTTACTTTGTGGACATTGACATGAAAAGATGAACGAAAAGGAAAAGTTACTTTCTCTGTTAGAAAGGGTCACAAGTGTTGTAAGAATCGCGTGCGAATTACCTACAATTGTAATGCATTGACTGTTTATCAGAAGCCCGTATATGCGTATATCGCTAGTACTAAACGTATTCGTTTATGGGTACTTATTCATTTAAGTCCGCGATACTAAAATGTTTAAGGCTGTTTGACAATATTTTCCTCTTTACAATGCGCATCTTGGTATTTAAAATTTCGCGATATACGAAAAGCACTAGGGATACTCGTCCCGATGGAAACAGCATCCCGTGCGATGCGAATAAAAAGATAACCTAAAAAATCTGTTCTTTATCAGTACGGTACACAACTCTCGAAACACAGTACATTTTTCGCAACAACGATAAAACCTTGATCTATCTCTTTTTACAACAAGCCAACCTGTTCGACATCGTCAACTTCGATGCGATTCTCGAAGAAGTAGAATTCATTCAACTCACTTCAATTATACGTGAACCTGCCTCGACACGCTCTCAGGTGCCGTTTCTGTGCGGCCACACACCCCTCAGAAATCCTCCGGAAACTTTTACAGGCATCTTTACGTAGACAAAGTACGCTTTCTTCTTTTTCTGAACACGAGAAACCATTTTGTCCGGGTCGCGGACCGGAATCTTTACTCGTCTTATTCGCTGGACATCAGCTGCACGCTGTCATCCGCCGATCTGTGAAGTCGCCGAACATCCGACAATGAACGAATCGGCGTTGGATGCAATAAAGAAAATGTGTGCGAATGGCGATCTGGAAAATTGCAAAAAAAGCATACAATTGTTTTGCGAACGTGGCAATGAACATTTGTATAAACATTTTTGTTGTAAGTGTAATAATTTTTGCGTAATCGTAGTTCACAGTCGAATTGTTACTTTTGTCCCCGTGCGCCCCTATTCAAAGAATGCATATAGGAATGGTTGATGCGCTGTGTATATCGGGTTGCGTGCCTGCAGGCGTATGCGCGGTTTACTCTAAATTGCATGCCTGCAGGCGCAATCTGTATGCATTAATCGTTGATAAATAAATAATTAACATATCGTCCAGATTGCAAATACAATAAATCAATTCAGCATAATAGTAAATAAAAATTGTTTTTATACAAAATAATCTGTGCTATTTAAATTATAAAAACTTATGAAAAATAGATGTATAGATAAGTTTGAAAATCCTGCAATCAGTAGTATAACACTGATACCATATCGACAACAATACTATTATAGTAGTAATATTAGTGTACCTCTACAATATCAATATTATCATAGTAATCAAACGTGACCCGTAAATCTAAAAAACGATCAATTGCACGAATTGTTGTGCAACGAGACGCAATTTGCCCCCGATAAAATCACTGAAATCGATCTCCAGGGAGAGCAGTAAATATTTTCTCTTTGCAGAAAGCTAGTGAAGAGCCGATCGAAAGTTTCAACTGGGATAACACAGAGACACGCCCACAGGGGTACCAACGATTAATTTATGCGAGTTAAAAATAAGGTAAAATCGATCGTATATGTCTATAAGCAGGCATCAAGGTCGGGAACAAGTGTCTGCTCGCGAATATACATATGTACACACGAATTTGCAAATATTTGTATGCCAATTTCCATATTTATTGCATGTGTTACATGGAATTCAGAAGAATTGAGCCGATTAATATGCAACTGGAATATTAAGGATTACATGGTACAGAGTGAGTCAGATAAAATGTTACAAACTATTATCTCAGAAACTATAGCACCTATCGACCTAATTTTTTTCTCAGAATTAAATGGTACGAAATGCCATGGTAACTATTTTAGAAAAATTTAATATACACCACGCAATTAGGTACCTTGTACCATTTAATTAAGAAAAAAAGGAATTAGGTCGATAGGTTCTATAGTTTCCAAGGTAATAATTTGTCTTTATCTGACTCACCCTGTGTAAGGAGTACCAGTAATTGCATTTCAAAGAATTGATATTATAATTAAGATATTTTGCATTGTAAGAAATTTGAGTGTTATTTAAAAGGATGCATTTATTTAGAGCAATTTTGAGGTGACCTTAATGCCTTCGCTTATCGATCCTTCCTCGTTAAATTTTAATAAGACCCTCGATTTCTTTCAACCTTCTAAGTTCGGCTTCGTTTCTCTCCTTTAACGAGCTTCTTACGTCCACTAGTTACGCTGCTTGGCGCATAATCAAACTTCTCGATTAATTGCAATTGTAATGTTCAAGCGGAAATGTTCTCCGTGGTCTCCATTGACGTCATCGATGCGGTGAAACGATCAATTATATGGAACTAATATTTATTCAAACATCGGAGACCACAGAGAAATGGGCAGCTAATTCATGATAGCGTAAGTTATGCACGTGAAACACGCGAACAATGCCTGTAGGATAAACGTGAGCGGTATACATATGTATATGTTAATTTATAAATTGAAGAATATAGGAAAAAGCACATTGTCCCACTTATGTAAATTTAAAGATAAATCTACTTCTTGTAAAATTAAAAAAAATAAAATAAAATAAAATAAACAATGCCTTTTATTTTCTTGTATCTTTTAATTTTATTAATTTGAAATCGCACCTCTGATATCCGTGGATGGTTCGCTTCTGGACAGCTCCTGATCGTTGCCTGAATATATCGGTATCTTCGACGGACTCTTATAATGTGCCAGGACGTCATTTTTATCGGACATGTTCTGATTCTGATGAGGAAAATGAAAGGCTGTCGTGTGCGGCCAGGAAGCCGGTGGTGGACTACGTACCAGGTGTTCGTGCACCTGTGCTAATGTCAAAGGGTCTGTATCACCCAATTCCTGTAAATGAAGAAATTTCTTCATTGTAATTTAAAATTAACTTCCCCCGAACTCGTGAAAGTTTCAGATTACACTATTATGAAATCATAAGTTTCAAAGTGGTCGGCGTGAAAAAAATCTTCGATAAACAATACTCGCTCCATTGTTTTCGGTGATTGAACGTTTTGGAACTCGCCCAAAGTTCGACAATAAACTTCAGATAAAGTACATAAAGTTCTATGTACACTAGAGGATACAGTAGCGAGGGTCATTGTGACCGCACCCTAGTAGCCGAGGGTTAATGGAATGAATGTAGTGCCTTTTATAACAGATATCAGCTGAATGATCAATAGCCGCTAGATCCACGACCGACAAATCTGTTCCTTGCGTTATCCTTCGGGAATAATACCACCCTTACAATGAATCAAGAAAATGAGTTTTCAGTGGGAAAGAAATAATTAATGTAACCTGTCGTTTCCCTTAAAGGGGGTCGCTGATAAATTAAAAAGTTCGAAAATTAAAAATAGGAAAATTGGGGAAAATTGATGACTCGAATACGATGAGAAGATATTATTAATTAATCTCCTATAAACTATAATCTATCGTTTCCCTTACATGGGGGTCGCTGATGAATTGAAAAGTTAGAAAATTGAAAAACTGAAAAATGGGGAAAATTTAAAAATAGGAAAATTGATTATCATCCACCTTGTCACCGACAACCCGTGACTAATGGGTCAGTCAAACCCAACCAGTAGTCGAAAATCCATCCACGATATTCCAGTCGACAAGAAATATTACTTCCTTTTACGCGTTTCCATTGTTAAACCTTGCCAGAAACCGAAATGCGATTTATCGGAGAAAAACGTAGGACCGACAAAGAAGAAATACCGGTATCCGTTATCACTTATTCTCTATCAAGTTCACGATAGCATTAATAATGCGCCGAGGGTCTCGATCGATGTTAGTAATAAAAATGAAACAGTATTCACCTGAGACATCAGAATGGCGTCGTCTGACTCAGACTCTTCCAGGGACTCGACCAGGCTTTCCCGACTGGCTAGTACCTGGAAAAAAACAGATCATCAATTGAATAAAGTTCCAACTAACATTGGTCTTAAGATTTTTGTCGTCTGCAAGTAGTATAAGTCATTGATAGCTGCAGTAGAAATAACCGTACATAGTCGGACCAAAATTTAAAACGAGTGATACATCTATAATAATTAAAATATTATAAAATTCCTCCGTTGATCTTGTGCATCGTTAAGGGTTTGGCAACGAAAAACAGAGGTGGTATCGATTGGTACCTGTAGGAAAGGGTTATCCTGCCGGCTGAGCCTAAGTGCCTCCATGTCCTGATCGATGTTCCGCGTTCTACCAGGTGTCAAGGTTAAAATAGAGTGCGATGGTGATGGCTGACAAGCGACGACCACATCGACGGCTGCCACGCTCAAGGTCGACGGAATTCTCGACACCTGGGTGTCATTCTCGCTACCGCTACGCCTGCAAGCGTTCGTGATGATCGCTGAAACAGATAGCATCTGTAATAGCAGGTGAAAACGGCCTTCCAAGAAAATCACTTCTTCCGTATTCCATTTGAAACTAACACAATGTGTTAATCTTCATCTCTCGCAATTGAACTTCGCTCAACCCTTTCGCTTCTAACTTTCTTTATAAAGATTAACCTTTTATTATATCCACGTTCTATGTATATATATAAACACGTGACGAGGCTTAAATTAATCTCTTCTATTCTATTTTACACCGTAATAAAAATATCCTCCACTCTTTTATTTACTTTGGTACGGTTCACTTCGCTAAGAACTTCCACGGTTACTTACTAGACTGTTCTAAAAAAAAAATTCACCCCTTTTTCTTTCTCTTTTCCTTCGAGAAAGTTTTCCTCGCGAGTGCTACCACTTGAAGAGAGTGCTTTTTAAAGCTGGTTAGAAGAGAAGTAATTTAACATCAAGCTATAACTATATTTCTAATTTCTTTAATTAGAAAATTAGAATTTTCTGAGTAATTACTACATACAGGAAAATTTAAGTTTTGTTTGTTGTGAAAATTTCTCTGTTAATTGAATTATAGGAAAAATGAAAAAGGGGCTGAATTTTTCAGCTGAAGTTTTACGTTTGTAAGAGGGATGAACTTTCACAGGGTTGTTGATAGTTTTACAACTTACCCGGGGTCTCGACTTTTGGAGCACGTTCCATCTCTTCGTCCTCGTTGATCTTCATCCCTAACGTGAATTTTTTCGATTTAAAAAAGTTTGAGAGAAACGCTGCGCCCTTCCGCTTCACCCGGTCGTATCGTTGAGCGTTCTCCGACGACACGTGTATCATAATTCGTCTAAAATTGAAAAACAACCGTTGTTAATCTACCGATGTACACGTAAAATTTACCATTTTATTTAGAAAAGAATTTTTCAAAAGGTACCAAAAGAAAAATAAAAGAGAGAAAGTACCAGGCACTGGTTGTTCGTTTTTGAAAACGAACAAACGTTCATTGTCAGATACACAAAACTTCTCTGAACGACCCGTTTGTCGGTAGACAGAGATTCCGGTTCGGAATTAAAATATTTCCTGAGAATTTGATTAATTTCAAGATTGTAATTCGATGGAAAAAGGTGCACCGTGTTATCGGTACTTGTTTAGGAAGAGGAGGACAGGCGTTCACGATCCTCGGCGATCGCATTGCCAACTGCAGCTGCAGGAGGGTGTGCTTCGTTGTTTCTTCCACGATTTTGCGCAGCTGCAAGTGGTCGTGGAGCAAGAGAGAAAGAGAAAGAAGCTTGCGTGCGACGGGGAGGTAAGAAACGAGCGGTAAAAAACAGAGAGGACAGTGGTGAGGGCATCTCGAAAGAGAAGTGTTTCAAAAGTACCGCGGGTACAAGTGCAACCCCTGGAGAGGCTCGTTTCTTTCCCTTTCGATCTGCTCGCTTCGTGGCCCACATTCCGACTCTCTTTCATTGCTTGAAATCACGCTTAAGATATATCACTAAATGAGATTCAAGTATCAATGATCCTTTACTTTAGTTAAAAGACCACCCTTGATGGTCATCAGAATTTCAGAAATTAATTTCCTCGACAATTAGACACTTCTTTGCGATATCCATCGGTACAAATGATCGATAAATTATTACTTAAACAACAGTTTCATTAAAAAAAAAAAAAACCTTCATTTCTATCATACTCAATTAATAATAATTAATAATAAACGCTAGAAATAGCATTAAATCTTCCTAGGATCATTACTAATAACCTTATGAATATTAATATTTAAATTCACTTTGCAGCAAATCTATTAATAATAATTAATAATAAACGCTAGAAATAGCATGAAGTCTTTCTAGGATCATTACTAATAAACTTATGAATTATAGATATTAATATTTAAATTCACTCCGAAGCAAATCTAATTCCATCAACCTCCCCGTCAAATTAATCAAGCCGAATTTTGACCGATCAGAAAACTAATTAAATCGACCACACAGAAGATCCGCGATCCCGTGTCAGAGACACGAGCCCTGCTCAGTCATCGTCCTCCTGTTCGATCAAACGACCCCTCCTTCTCGGCATCCCGTGCACGATACGAGTGCACGACACGCGAGCCATCGTCATAGGGGAAGCTGCTCCCAGAATTCGCGTTCGTAGCCGGTATTTTTCCAGCAGTGAACATCTCGTGGCACGACCGGCGATCGATCGGTCCTCCTCCACCCACGAGACGAGTAAAGTCGGCTCGTAAATCGGGACGGTATCACAGTACACGTTTCTCCATCGCACCACGACAATCATTTATTTAACCACGAGGGGGACGTGATTTTTACTTACTTCTTCGAGGTGGACGCACCTGCTTCATTTTCAGCTGCGGACGATCGTTTCGCGACGTACGTGGTATGCTGTTCGCGGCGCGACTAACACCGTCTCAGGGCTGCATCGGAAGCAGGGAGAACAGGGTAACCGGGTAGGACTTTGCGACGATTCGCTGCGACCCGGAGCGTCGAGAGGAACGAGCACGCATCGGCTACGGACACGCGCACTACGCTCAACTACCACCCCTGTTTCACCTTTTCTTCCACACCCGCGCCATACCACTTTCCCACCCTCCGGATACACTTCTTTTCGTCTACGCTCTCTTCGTGGTTACTGGCAGCTTCGTTTGCTGCCTCGTTAATCGCGCCGACCGAGCCGGGGATTAATTAGACTCCGAGATAAGGGTGAATTGTTGAGTCTTCGGGGTTGATACGTTTCGACAGGGAGATTCGCTTTGTCCGATGAATGCTAGTTCCGAGCGATCTTTCCTTTCAATTTGTATGATTCATCTTCTGTTATCACGCGTAGAGATTTTCTTATTGCTTCGTTACGATTAATCTTATTAGTCAATTGAATTTATGAAGAGGGTACTCAAAATTTAAGCGCTCTCGAGTGGTTTTTTTTTATTTTTTATTTGCTTCGTCATTTGAAAGAAATTTAAATGTATCAATCTATTCAGAAATGATGAAAGATGATGATTTGAAATTATTTCAAAATTGAACAATGAATCATTTTTATTATTCGTGAGATTACGAATAATTATCTGATCTATGTTCTATCGTTTGAAAAAGCTTGCTGGAAAATACCCAATGATTCTGTTTACTCGGTAAACAGCTGTAGATAATTACGAAACGTTCTTCCGATCATCTTTTAATACACACTTGTAAACGTACAAGATTTTCAATGCAAACACATCGGACGTGTCAATTGAAAAGCTCAGGAATGATTTACAAAATCGTTACAAGAATCGTTTATTCATATACAATCGAGTAATTCTTATCAGTTAGCAAGAATAATGATGAAATTTCGTTTCAACGTAACTTCTGACTGAACGAGACAATCCGGACTCTCAAATCCATACAACTAAACGTAACAATTTATAATTTTCACAAATTAATTTGTTTAAAAACAACAGCGGCAATGGAAGATGATTTTCCAAGACAAAACAATCGAAGCAATTAACGCCTCTTCGATTATATAGACACTGCTAATCGAACGCTGATAAATAACACTGATAACTCACTCTAAAAATATCCAAGTACAGTCGTCGAAAATCGATCAATCTTCCGGTTTAGACCCATTCTTCCGCGTTTATCCCTCAAACTAAAAGCTTTCACTATGGTAATAAACGCGTTTAATCCACTAAAACACACGATATTCTCACGGAACGTCACGTTCTCGAAATGCTTTCACACGACGATGCTTCGTTTAATCGTTCAACGTGTTATCGTATTAACCGCGATTCAATTATTCAATTGTCGGGGCACATCTCGCTCCCAGCGAGCTCATGATAGCTACTGATTGCGAAACGAGTAAACTTGGTGTTCCTCGGCCGTGCAATGATAAGAAATAATCGTGACAGAAGCTTTAAATTGAACACACGTTTCAGCATTGATTACATTTCCCTAACAATCATTATATCCCGCACGTGTTCTCAAACCAATAATGTTATTATTATTTTTTCGAATAATTAGCATACTTGATTTTAATCGTTCTACGGAATTTTTTCCAAGATTCTTCAGAATTTTACGAATTTATAGACCCCTAAATGGATTCATCGAACTTAATTATAACTTCTCCTTCTTTAATTAGAAAACTAATAACAGAGAAGTAATGAAAAATCAATGAAATTGCGAGTAGAGTGTCCTCGTAAATCACCAATTAATTCTATGCAAATTAGACAGTTAAGTTTAAGTTAATTATGTCCTACCAGTAAATGTATTAAAATTGGAACGAAATAAAGACTCGTGTGATCTTTTTGCAAGGACAACACCTAAAATCGTGAATATTTTATTAATGTCTAACAAAATATTAACTTTTCTGTAAAAAGCTATCAAGAATTTTTGCATGTTACTTCTTTTTTTCGTTTGAGAACACCTTGTACGTAGAAAATGAGATCATCTAGATAATGAAAAAAGCCTGTTCTCTTTTTTCCTCCCCCTGTTCCATAATCGACAGGGGTTAGTGACGGAGCATTAACGGGGGACACATGGAAACGATAACGCGGTTCGAACGTTATTTTACTTAGCGTTTAGGAGAATGATGACAGTAATGGGTTCAGGTAATGCTGGACATTTTCAGAGATAATGCGATGATCACGCTGATGATAGCGATTACGTTCGTGCACGTGGATAGTTGGATCGATCTTTGCCCTTTGAAAAATTATTATCTCCGAATAATATTGTGTAACATTTTCTTTTTTATTCAAAAGGGAAATAGAAAAAGAATTATTCGAAACAGTGGTGCAACCATAATTGCCCAACAGGGGGGTGAACAAAATTTTTTTTACTTTAATTACCCTACCCTGATTTGAAAATTGCAAATTCGTGTTTTCCCTTTGCGAATCGATCCAGGTGGATACGTAAAAGTTCAATTTTATTGCAACGCACCCTCGCAACAGAACGGAGATACAAAAAAATGAAAGAGAGGATGCTACCGCAGCGATGTCATTCTCGAAATTTACAAAAAGCTGTATCGTTCGCTGAACTATTACATTATTCGTATGTACGTGTGTGTATTGTTTGATAAAAAAAATATATATATCTATATATCTTTATTCGACATCATTTTGTTTTTTCTTTTGTATTTTTCTTTTTTTTTTGTTTTTTTTTTTACAAACGCTACCGAAATGTTGTCCTATGGAATTTGCACTTGTACAGACTAAAATACTGTGTTTGCGAAAATATTCATGGCTCCCTTTTATTGGGATACGTGGTCGATGCCTTCGAAAAGTTACAAAAACACCTGACATCAACTATTATTAGTATTTATCGTCGAGATAAAAAGATACACGCGCCTCCGTATGTATCAGACTCATCCCTTCGTCTACTGTATTCGTTTAAAATCAGACTAACTAAGATTCCAAACGAGCAGCTGTTATTGCAAATTAAACAGATCTTTCGAAAATTACATGATCGAATATTCCAATTGTACCTGGATACAATTCGAATATTCGTTGTATTCGAATAGTTCAACTATTCGACATTTTACAACCCTACCGGTGACCCTTTATGGCAGTCAGCTTTGTTAACGATTCCATCTATTAGCGTTACTGTTTCTCTCACTCCAAGAGTGTAAAAATCGGAAATACATTTCATTGAAAATAGAAAGACGTTCACACCTTGAAGATTGAACAACAATAACATTCTCTATTGTCGATTAAGTACTAAATTAGACTAATGAACAGGATCATCCAACTGTCTCATTCTAATTTCAAAGATGCTTATAAAATTTTGCAATTTGAAATGTATCTCTCTGAAGACGTCAATTTTGATAAAAATCAGAAGAGAGCTTAGTTGAATGACGTTCCTTCTTGTCAAAATAGAAAAAGCTTGGTCTAAAAAGTGTCTGAAACTCTAGGGATTCATTTTCTCTCTATGTACAATTCGTTAGCTCGACTAAAAAAAAAATGTAAGAAAAGAAAATAGATTGAAATAATCGACGAACAGTCGCGACAGCAGCAAACGACGATCCTTTCGACAAAAAGTATAATGAACACATAAGCTACGTGTAAACGTGTGTGTGTATGTGTAATTGTGTACGTGTGATCGTGTGTACGTGTCGCTAAATACACAATGAAGAAATACGCGACAACGATGACACGAGGCTCTTTTTACAATGCAAGCAATCGACAATGGAACTTCATTCGTAAAGAACTTTTTTTTTTGTTTTTTTTTTCTTTTTTTGTTATTTCCTTATTTTTAGGCAACGCATCACTCGCACATACCTAATAATAATAACGATCCTGATTCGATGATCAAGAATCGAGTTACGATGAATCAATTAGTTCGCCTCTACTCGATATGTTAATTGAACGAATCATTTTCTACGATGATGTTCGTATATAAACACAGCGACATCGAAACAACAAATTTTCTCTTCTTTATATTATGCGTTAGAAATTAATTCGTCATATTTATGTCACATGTATATATGTATATAATATAAAACATTTGAAAAAATCACAGTTACTTAAAAAACACCTCAGTTTATCGCTTCCTTCTTGCTCTCCCATATGCACCCATTCGCTAAATCATTTCGATATTTATGTATCATTTATTTATCTACTATTTCGTTCGATCATTTTCGCTCCATA